TCAGAGATAAAAACAGGGTTTAAAATATTGAAAACCACAGAGTTGGTTCGGGCGCCAAAGACCGAACGCCGAAAACCGAACGTCGAAAGCCGAACGCCGAAAGCCGAGCGCCGACTTAGGTGGTTTTGGTTCTGAGCAAGGACCAGGGATTTTTAACAATAAAAGAAGTCATCAAAAATCTTTGTTTTGATGCACAAAAAAATGTTTTATGGTTTGTAAAAATTGTTTTGACTTTTTGAGAACCGAGACTTGAATAAATTGTCGGTTTTGATCACAAAAGACCGACTCGACTAAGTCTTCAATTCTTGATCTTGTCCTTGAGTCTTTTAGGTCTTGTTCCAAGCCATTCTTCACGCCTTGAGTTATTCAACGAAACTCTTCATATCCACGGCGGTTTGGTAATTATCAAAACCTGTCAGAAATGAACACGACTTTAGTTTAACGTACAAAGTGTGTTCCAACAGTTTCGTGAGATTCACGCATTAAACGTTCCTTCACTTCGCCACTAAGAACTACCAAACGATTCCGGTAAAATGAAATTGTAACACCCTAATCTGTCTAGGTCTGCAGCCCCTTTCAGATTAAAGTATTAACTTGGTAATCGTAAAAATTTAAAACATTTCAAACACTTTTATTTATCACAATAATATTTTTAATAATATAAATAGTACGGAGTTTTCAATATTGCAGAAGCTTAACAAACATAATCACAAACATAATTTATTTATGTTCTTTAATTCAAAACCATCACATCCATTCCGACAATCTCGCCTCCGTCTGCCTCCAGGATCACGTCACTTCATTAACCTACGTGTAGCAAATAAAACATACTACACGCTCAGCGTTGAAGCTGAGTAAGCATATCTAATGCATCGAACATCCATATAAACTGAATCTAAATTCATAATCAAATCATTTGATATCATGCACATAATGTTCAGTTCAGATAATCAATAATTATTAAAAATTATTCGTCATGCATTATTCAACATTTATATTCACATTAAATGTTCATCAGTCATTCATAATAATTGCAATATTCAATTCAATATTCATCATTCAATATTTACTCATATTCAATATTCAATATTCAATATTCAATATTCAATATTCAATATTCAATATTCAATATTCAATATTCAATATTCAACAATATCCTTAAACTATTGTTAGTCTAAGGCCAATCACTTTAATATTTGTCAACCTTTAAACGAATTCTAGTTTAAATAATTAAACTATATTCCAGTACAAAATATTCCTAAATAATCCTTAAGCTAGGCCCAGTTTAAGATAAAAGGGTTTTGAAAATCTTAAACTTACCTTCACTTAAGGCCAACCAAAAACCGACAGCGTAGTGTGTTAGCTCCAACTAGTTAACATTGATATATAGTTTATGTTGGCATTATTTTTTGACAAAACCCTTCTGTAGAACTGGTAGTGTGTAGAACTGGTAGTGTGTCTATGTTAAGATAAGGGTTGTAGCATCCTATCAGTCATGGTGTAGAGTTTCTATACAATATTTGACTCTGCGTATATCGAGTGTTCTATATAAAGAAGGTTTCGTGAGGTGACCAGCGTCAAGAGAAACACATCCTTCAAGATTGGCTACGAGGAACTACTTCAAGACTTGGTTAATTCCTGGACACGTGCAGCAATGCAAATCTGTGGAAGAAGTCCTGACTTGCTAGGAGTGTCTGGTGTTCAAGCTTATCACCTGAAGAGTTTCGTATCATCTCCACTAGGGTTATGAACACCCTATAAAAGGGAGTCAGCCGTGAAGACAGAGGTACGCAGAAATACACTCAGAATATCCAAGGAGAGAGCGTGAGATCACCACAATTCCGATCAGAATACAAACCTGTGTGAGAAGTGCATGAGAAGATCAGTCATGGATCTTCTCTAGATATTGTTCAGCTGTTGCAACCTGGTGGGCTGAGCAAAGGTCAGAAACACATGCTTCGTGCAGAGCAAGAAGAAGGTGTAATAGGCCTGGTGAAGACACAAACCGAGTTTGCTGTCAGATCTCGTAAGTAGACAGATCAGATTCATTAGAAGGTTCTATTGAAGTTTGATAGTGTAAGTCTTACGTTGATCTAGTGGAAAGGCTATTACACGGATGTGGGCCTCGCAGAAGTAGGAGATACTGCTCCGAACTCTGTAAACAAATCTTTGTGGCTTGGTGTGTTTATTATTCTGTTTGTGTGTGTGACTGTTGAAGAAGGTGTTGTAGCATCCTTCAATAACTGTTTTGCCATTGTTTGTTTGCTGTTGTGGTTATTTGCTTGTGAGTGCTGGAATTTCAATTGGTATCAGAGCTTGTTGAGCTTAAGTTATTAGCTTTCAACGATCACAAATTATGGGAGACATGGAGGAAGGAGCCAGTGTTTCCAGGCCACCCCTGCTGCGTGGTCACAACTACAACTTCTGGAAAGGGCGTATGAGGGCATTCTTGAAATCACAAGGAGGAGGAGTATGGAGAACTGTGGAAACAGGTTGGACAGAACCAGTCAAACACTCGGATGATCTGTCTACGACAACTGTCAAGAAATTTGAAGACTATAGCAGAACTGAAGTCCTTGCTGCTGAGAATAATGACAAAGCTTTAAATGCTATTTTTGGTGCAGTTGATGCCACAGAATATCGTCTCATCTCAAACTGTGTTAGCGCAAAGGAAGCATGGGATATTCTTGAAGTCACACATGAAGGTGATGAGAAGGTCAAAACTGCAAAGTATCAGATTCTCATGACACAATATGAAAATCTGCGAATGGATGAGCAAGAAACTATTGTAGAATTCCATGGAAGAGTCCGCGACCTTGCAAATCAAGCAGCTAGATTACAGGAGCCATTTCCAGAATCAAAACTTGTTCTAAAGGTGCTGAGATCACTACCACAAAGGTTTGATATGGATGTCAAAGCAATCTCTCAATCACATGATGCTAAAAAAATGACCCTTGATGCCTTAATGGGTAATCTTGAAACCATTGAATTAAACATGAAGGAGGATAGCAAGAGACGATAACCAGAGAAGCAAATTGCCTTTCTGGGAACAGACCTGCAGAATGATAGTGAAGATGGTTTAGCATTTGATGAAGAATTCCAAGAACAGCTGTCTCTATTCACAAAGCAGTTCAAAAAGAAGTGGATTCAAAAGAAGGGAAAGAGTCAAATTCAAGAAGGACCTTCTAAGACATCCACCTTCAGGGAGTCTCGGTTCAAAGAAGGAAAGCCCTATGATAACAGCTCCAAGTACAAAGGACCACTGTGCTTTGAATGTGGTGGTCATGC